TACGATCATCTAGCGATTGTCGTCGAACAAAGTTGCTCGAAGCCCCATAATCAACTAGGGCGCGAAGTGACATGTTCTTTGTCACTTCGATCTTCAATGTGATGAGGGATACCTCATCACTGGGAGCGGCAACACACAGTGACTGTGTGTTGGAAGCAACCTTCGTCAAGAGTCCCGCGAACTCTCTTGACGTTGCTGGATCAGTAGGGCGCTCCGCCCCTACTGACCCCGACCGTTTTTTGATGGTCCACCACGTTGTTGCGATTTCGCAGCAACGTGGGACCCACGTCTCTGGCCTTTCTTGGCAGACGGTCGATCGTCACTCCCAGTGTTACGAGACACTGGGCGTGGGGCACTACACTCATAAGCGTAGTGGCCCAACTTCTGACAGCGATTGCACTTTTGCAATCGCTTGTACCCTGGAGAGCGAGGTCGCTCACTCTCTACATAGGAGAGGTCCATTGGTTCTGGACCTCCGCCCTCCTGTCGTCTCGGTGGACGATAGGATCCCGAGTGGACGTGAGCCTGTTGTAGGCTAAAGTCCTCCTGTTCCGCTGCAGAGATCGCTTGATCCAGCGATTCTAGTTCCAAGCGGAACAGGTGGGTCTTGACAGGACCATCTGTCAGACCCTTAAAGAACACAGTAACCTGCGTGTGTTCATCGATTGGGTTCAGTACGATACAGCTAACGAGGTATCGTATGTGTTGGGCGTAAGCGTGTATATCACGCTTACCCTGTTTCAAATCCAGGAGCTCAGCCCTAGTCCTGATCTCGGCGCGAGGCGGCTCAAACGTGTGTTTGAGCCGCGCCTTGAAGACTTCATACGTTGGGAAAACGTATGGGTCGTGCAGTTTGAGCCCTAAGGCCCAAGCTTTGGCACGTCCTGCCAAGTTCGACATGGCGAACTTGACCTTCATCGCATCGTCATCGATGCGACGAGCCTCAATGGCATCGTCGAGCTCGACGAACCATCTCAACAAGGAGTCGCTTTCGACTGCCTTGTACTTGGAGACATCAATCTTCAAGGACTCGGGTCGACGTGCATACGCCGACCCGGCAGCAACAGCACTATCCTGCTGTTGTCTAAACAGTTCAGACTGTTGAGCACCCTGCTGCATCAACAAGTCAGCTTGTTGAGCGCCTTGTTCTCTCAACAGTTCAACCTGTTGAGAACCTTGCTTCTCTAGCAAGGTGAGTTTCTTTACAACTTCGTCAAGTTCATGTTGTATGAACTTGGCGATGGTTGCATGTTGGTCGTCTCCGCTAAGAGAGAGCAACATGGCACCAACGGCAGGGTTGCCGATGGTTTCAGCCATACGCTGAACCGCATTCCATTCTAGGTCACTCAAATGGCGGAAGTCATCACGCGTTTCGTGATGACGTTCATCACCCGCTGATTCCATAGCGGGAGGTGCGGTGGTCGCTGAACGGACCACGAAGTGCTACCAGGTGTAATGGGGCACCCTCCGACTATACTGATTACAGTATAGTCTACCTTCACTGATGACAGTGAAAGCAGGTGCCTCAATTACCTCTCTTACACAAGAGGCAGAGGAAGCTTTACTTCGAAACGACACGCTTAGAAGTAGAGGGAAAGAGAACTGTATTTAATATATAGTTAACTATCTTAATAAAACTAATCTGTTATAACCTATGTTAACTATATTAAAGTACAACTATGTATGTTGACAACTTGCCCTCCACTCATTGCGCGCGTCCATCGGTCATTGGTCAGCGCGTTGGTTGATATGATGGCCCATATCAACCAATGAGAGGGCATCTCCAACTTCAAGGAGATCTAGGAACAATATTATATGAAAAGATAATATTGTCAAATATTATTAGTTATAATAATATATTTATTGACACTTCATATAAGTGTCAATATTATGTAACGGGCTCACCCCGTTACAAAGACAATAACCAATTGGAGGAGGTCTTAATCAACGATGGAATACATATTAGCAGAATTAAAAAGCATGCGCCAAGATCAGCAAGCTACTGCATATCGTGAAGTGACTGTGAGGACTCAAAGTGGACATCTGGAAAGTAAACTGAGGAATACACGGATGAAGAGTGTGATGATAGATCGAAAACGAGTTACGACGGTACAAGCGTACTTTGAAAAAGTATTTCGCTAAAACCGGAGGCGGACTTGGATAAAAAAATTGAAGTTATCGCGCAAGCTTGTAAACTCAGTCACAACTGCCGTTCAGATGGACCACTTGCCAGCATATCGTGGTGTGGTGAGCGAAGTAGTTGCTGCCGTATCGCAACTTTTTAAAGCCGAATTTATGCATTTTCCTGATCCGAAGAATAATCGCGAGTCGATGCGCATTACCGAAAAGGATTTATGGGAGCGTGCAAATCATGAAGAGCTAACAGCCTGGCGTGCGAATTATACATGAAGAGTGGTCAAAATCGAACCTGAAGTGCCACGTTTGTATATCAAGTGGGTGTACAATAAAAAACGCACGAGTGATGGGAAATTGAACGTTACAAAGCAAGACTTGTTTCGTGTGGTAATAGACAGGTAGTCGGTGTAATTTTTTGCTGAACTTTGCCGCGGAGTTAAACATTACAAGTGCAAAGGCTTTTTGGCTATTGCGTATATTTGTCGTACATCACCCAGGCAATCCGACGTGCCAAGTGCCTACGTGCGCGCTGCTAAAGAAGATGGAAGAAATAAACATTTTCGTATTCCTGACGGAATGAAGTTTACGTCGGAGGAGCTATTTGCTTATGGCGTGGATATCACCAAGAACTTATCACTTTGTTTGATTTGAAGCCTGTCGGGCTTGAAGCAGGATGGAAGGCTATGACATCAGCTTCTACATGTAACTCTGACAAACATTGAATTTGTGCAATGCATAACGGTACGTGTTTGTATTTCAAGTCAGACAAGGATAGAACTACTCTTGTCGGAACCAATGTGGATGATCTCTTAATGACTGTAACCAGTGACCAGCATGTGGACACTTTCTTTTCGCAGATGGCGTGCCTTGAGCTGAAGGATCTTAGACTTGCCGAAAAATTTCTTGGAACGCGTGTACATTATGATTCCGAGTCAGGGTACAAGATTGATCAAGAGAAAACTATCCTAAAATTGCTGTCCAATAACGGATTCGGAAAAGCCAACTCAGTGCGAGCTCCGATGAAAGGAGACCTTTTAGATGATGATGAATCTGGAGGAGGGGCGCTACTGCCAGCATACACCTGAGCGCCCGACAACCAAGACAATTAAGTCGCTGCTTGGAAATTTGCTTTGGATTGCTTGCTGCACAAGACCGAACATATTGCTTGCTGTACACCATTCTTCTCGACAAGCACACGCACCTACCATCGGAGATTTGGAGCTAGTGAAACGTATCTTGCGCTTTTTAACTGGAAGTGCTGCTTTTAAATTAGCTATGTTTGAGACGTTGTACCGCTACGTATCGAATGTTTTTCTGATGCTGATTTTACTGGAGATAAAAAGGACATGAATTTTGTAAGTGGTGTTATTGTTCGATTAATGGAATGATTGTGAGGTGGAATTGCATGAAGCAAACGGCAGTGGCGTTATCGGCCGCTGAATCGTTAAATGTGGCTGGGTCTATTGGCGCCAAAGATATCTCGATTTAAAGAGATGGCTGGAGAACTTACTTTTTAAGTTGCGCTCTAATGATAATGAAGATGGACAACCAAGCTGCTATCAAGCAAGAGGAATGAAGCAAGCTCAAGCCAGGCAAAGCATGTGGACGTCCGTCTAAACTTTATTGGCGATTAATACAACAAAGGCGAAATCAAATCGACCTACGTGACTACGCGCGACATGCTGGCTGACATGCTGACCAATTCACTCCCAGCACCTCGACTACACGCTATGTGTACTTTCGTTGGCAGTATTTGGCGTGAGCCTTGGGAAGGAGTGTTGGAAAACGGTGTTTTAATTGCTACCAGGTTTCAAGCCATTAAGTAACTGCCGTTTCCCAGGATTGCCTTTTGTTTTGTATATTTTGGTTTGCAGGCGACAGAAATGACGGAAGGTGAGCACATCTTGGGCTAACATCGTGCAGGAGTGGCTGCATATCAGGGTGCTGGTAGGTAAGACACACATACTGCTGGTAATAAAACTCAGTCTTCGAAAACACTTCTTTGGAAAACCACCTTTAAGTTCGATACTTTGTCAGCTGCGTGTGATGGCGCGGTACTAGGTCCCTTTGTACATATGCTTTACTGAAGACGCCAACTAATTTAAAAATGTATACATGCCCCCCCCCCCTCCTTTTTTGCAAAGGGGGGGCGCAAATATTCAAAGAAGGGGGGGGGGGTGAATATAATTTCCCTACATTTCAATATTAAACGTACCCCAAGTATCTTAGGCTAGATTATTTAGCTAAAAATGGTAATTATAGTAGTATGTATAAGATAAAACGTCATCCAGTTTGTTGTACTTTTACCACTTTATCAGTTATCGAACCAATACCGAAAATATATAGTAGTACCGAATACCATATACTATATACTATACCCTAATTAAGGACCTGTATTAAGAATCCATGATATGCTTATTTATGGAGTTAATAATTGAAATATGTACTTTGAAAATAATTATATAGCAGTCGCGAATCCCCGTTACACTACTGTACACGTGTTTGACCCTCATTTTACAAAATATGTGAAACTCGTTTTTGTGAGGTGGTGTAACGGGTTATGAAAATAGTAAAAAGTGTGGTGGAAATAGCAACTCCTTATAAAATAGAGCTATTTTGTTATAACGAAATACTTGAACCAAATTAACAAACAATGTATGAAGCACCTAATCGAAATTAACTTAGGCTTTTTACCAAAGTTTTCAACTGAGCATCGGCAAAAAAAATAAGACTCATAATTCAATAATGAAGAATAGAATCTGCGAGGTGCTAGCAATCAAGAAAATGTTAATTTGGTAAAGGCACGATGTCACATCACCGACACAGCGTACTCATCATTTACTGTGTAGTACGCATTTGCGAGATTAACGGATGCTCTTCGCACAACGAAAGCCTACCATTGGCGATCGATCATACACTTCGCTGAACATGATGAAACGATTATGTTGCTGGGCACTCAAAGCTTGTGGAAAGTACCAATTCGGGTCACCGAGTGTAGCGGAGATCGGTTGGTAGCTGCTTCCTCCTCGAAGAAGAAGCCCACACGTATGAGAGTCGCAAAATTGATCCGTCATCTGCCACACGTACCCGACAAGGTCTTCCACGAAAAACTTGGTTGAACGTGAATTCTTGTAAGAGCCCACGGGGCTCAGCGTCGGCAATTCCTTACCATAAACGACTTTGGGTAGTCTCGTTCTGTCCAACTTGGATCCCCACGGATAAGCATCGTAATTCAATCCGTTGGAAGCAACATACTGCATCTCCCAGTCGTGCGGAAGGCGCTTGCCGTAATAGTCCGCGTAAGCCATAGCATCCTCGTGGGCAACGTTTACGACAGGACTTTGTTCCAGACCAACAGGAATGCTCCATGATGCTGGAGAGCCTATACGATCATTCCAATGCAACAAGAAGCGATTCAACGACTTGGGACTGTAGCCACTCGACTTCAGGAAAACTCTGTATTGCGCGTTGGTCACGGGATATCTGTCGATCATAAAGTCCTCGATGGACAATCTCGTCGAGTGATTGTTCCACGGACGGTTTTCCCATGGAAATTGCACTCCCGTTCCAAATTGCGCGAAGTTTGGCGTCCATTCTGACACGGGCTCAATCTGCACGCCACTAACGTTAAACCACCAGTTTGAGGCTCCAGACACAAGCACCATATCATCGGTGCTCGTTTCTTTCGGTACATTCAAAGTGTTACTGGAAACAAGCTGCTGTTGAAGCAAGTGTCTCGTTGTAGAGTATTTCGACAGTGGAGTGGTGGTCATGGCTCCCATCTTCTCGAGATACTGACGCAAGTCATTGTCAGATTCGGGAGATTTTGTAACATAGATTGCTCCAAATCCTCGAGGTTCTAAAGTCACTGTCACGACTGAGCTAGCCGTGCCGTTTCTTCCTTTTTGTTTCTTCAATTCTACTCCGCGGTAGACGTCATACACGCGAACATCGTTGCCAGACTGCTGTTCAGTGAGCACCAAGTCATATGTTACTTCCTCCTCCACTACAGTGCTGATCACTGTGTAAAGTGATTCCTCACTTTTCTGAAGAGAGAAGGCGCTTGCAAACACTCCATCATCTTTCATTGCATAGTACGGAGTCCACTGTCCAGTGGAAACAATGTGTCCGAACTTGCGAAGGATTGCAAACATTCTCTTGGCGGTCTCATCTTCACGCTCGGTCATCGCATTCCAAATACCCCACACATTCTCCCAGACCACATAACCTGCCCCATTGAAGAAAGCAGTCTGCAACTCTGCGGTTCTATCAAGCGACCAGCGTGCACAGATCTGCACCATGTGTCTCGAGTCGAGAAATTTGGCACGTGCCACTGGTGGAAAGTTTGAGTAGCCGTAAAAGTATCCCCAACTGATCGGGTTGTGGCTCAAGTACGCTGTAGGCACACCACCCTCCGGAGATGCAACCAATGGTTTGCTGCAGTTGTAAAAGGACTTGGGGACACCGTACATGGTGTCGCCATTAAAGCCATCAGCTTGTAGTTGAGGGATTATTTCATTCAGTGTAGCAATGTCTGCTTTGTACATCCGCACCATATCTTCCCGTCCAGGCTCATCACGTGTGCCGACATCCCAGGGATTGTATGGGATAATGACCCGGATTCCTCGACGATGAAACTCGGCAATCACCCCCTTCACTCCTTCAACCCCACCTGGGAGGTCTCGTAGAAGGTCCCATTGGTTTCGATTATCAATGCCAATGTTCGGGTATGCCGGCCAGATTAGGACACTATCAATAGTGCCAACTCGTTGTTCCATCTCTTCCACGTACTTATCCACTGTATATTGCTGTGTCTCACGGTCGTAAATAGAACGGTCGTTCATCATGAGAAACGTCTGCACGAAATTCTGCTGCGTCCATTGAAGTTCTTGGATGTTGTACACATTGCAGGAATCTTGTGGATCGTATCGATTCGTAAACAGCTCCATGTTCTTCCATGTGGTCCATACACGACGCCATGATTCCAATGCTTCAAAGCCATTGGGACCATCGATCACTTCGTAGCCCTGGGGTTGTTCATCCCAAGCAAAAGTCTCGTCCAGTAGGTAACAGGCTGCAGACAAGTAAAATGCTGTTGAAAGACGCATTGGAGACTTGATGATTGCGCGACGTCGAAACTTGATGATTGCACGACGTCGAAACTTTAAATATGAGAGAGGAAGAGCTCTGTTAAGAGATCGTCAGACATAGCACACTTTTCATTGGCTCTCGTCTGACGCGTAATCTGAGCCCGTTATCCTTGAACTTGAAACAGTAAGTCCATTATTTCGGTATCTACCGATATACCGATACTGTCAGAATAGATTGGAAAGGAATGCCATCTGATTCGGCAATTGAGCCTGTCTGATTGTATACACTCGACTGTATAGTAGGACCGTCTTCAGGCAAGTCTGGGTGTGATTTCTCAGTCACAGACGCACATAACGCAAACGTTTTACCACACATCTACAAGCTCTGAATACAACAGTATAGGCATCTACAAGCTCTGCCTAAAACAGTCTAGGGCTTTATTGACAAAGCATTGCGTTGCGCTCTGACTTAATTGGCATTGTCATGCTCTCGTATTGTTCAAGGACGATGCATCCGCTATAGCTATCGACACAATGACGCAAGAGAATAAACAGATCGGACACTTGTCCCATCTGTTTACAGATGGATTGTTTTTGTTTGCACATACTGGATTGCTTAAACGTCGCCAAATTTGGCCAATCACAAAGGACGACCCTCCTATTTAAAAACAAACTTCGTTTCATTCACTTACTTAAGCGTCACTTTGGTCCCCTATATTGACGATACAAACCTCGTATCGATCCGTTGGCCTCCAAAGGCCACAAACACACCGAGAGTCGCAATACAGTTCAAACGTTACGTCAGACGCGACCCCAAGCAGCAATCATTCCACTCTAGGCAAACAAAAGTATCCTTAGGTAGGATAAATTTCACTTGGATATTATATAGTCGCTTTGGCTCTTTTAGCTAAAGCACCACAGTTTTTAAGCACTGAAGACGAAGAAAAATGGCTACAGTTTACTAACATATCCATGTCAATGCTGTAGATCGAAGTAATCTCAATAATCTGCCCATAACAAGGCAGTGACGATAATGGGTATGGCATGTGATGTCAAGGGCCACGCCGTGTCGACCAGTGAACATGAAGTACCACTGGATAAAATTGGTGGACACGTCTTTGGTGTTCAATCAGATGAGATCAAGACGGAAGTAAACGAGAACAAGATAGAATCCGACACTCCTGGTCTTGATCCAGAAGAGACGGCTCTGATCCTCACGTGTTTGAGTAAAGGTTACTCTGATGTGACATCCGGGAATTTTGATTTAGATGTTGAAGACGTGGGTGATTTGTCGGATGATGATGTAGATACTTTGCAACGTCGTCAAGTCTCAGGGATGGGTAAGGTGCACCGCGTGCAACAAATTAATTTTGATGGCCCGAAAGGTAGCAAACTTGATTTCACGGATGAGGCTGGTTTCAATCATCGTTTCCGAAATGAAAGTAATCGTGTCAAAAGTTTGGTGACCAAACATATTTCGATCGAAGAGCTTCGTGCACATTTTGACCGACCTATTATCGACGTAGCAAAAGATTTTGGTATCTGTATCACGCTCATGAAGAAAATTTGCCGTCGTAATGGTATCAAGAGATGGCCCCACCGTCAAATTCGGTCGCTTTCCAAGAGCATTGCATCCATGGAGGCTGCGATGCTTAGTGCACATGGAAATGAGCGTGATAAGTACCGTGACCAGATAGCAAATTTGAAGATGAAGCGCGATTCTGTCATTGCGGACCCAAACAAGGACAACTCCATGCGCCACAAGATATTGCCACCACCTTCGATGGTCGGTGATACTACAAGCCAGAGTATGCGTGCTTCTCGCCACGTTCTTTCAACATTAAAACTATCTCCACGACCTGTTCATAACACTCATGCTTCGTCGCATAACGGCGTCCCAACAACACCAACAATGAAGATTGAAAACTTGGTAGTAAGTATCCCAAGCACTTTCACCAGTGGTTCGTCAAAGGGTGGACGTTGGACCAGTGAGGAGCATGCTGCTTTTCTGGAGGGCATTCGCTTATACGGGAAAGACTGGCGACGCGTAGCTCAAGTCGTCATGACACGCAGTGCAGTGCAAACGCGTACTCACGCCCAGAAATATTTATTGAAATTTGCTGGACGTTTTCCGTTCGAAGCTGACGGGGTACTAAAGGATCATCCACCGGCACCAATGCAGACGCATTGTGCATCTGTTGACAAGACGGTCCCACCTATGCTGAGTCCAACGACAAATGTAGCATCGAGTAACGGAGTTTTGACACCTGACAATAGTATGACCAACGAATCTTCGGAAGAGTCTCAAGCTGTAGCAAAGCACGGAGAGGCCATGGCAATGATCTTGAACGGCAGTCCGCAGGTAGAGCCAGTATTGACGTCTCTTGGGAACAATGTCGGAGCTGCGATGCTTCCAGGACTACCGTCTCGAGCACCAATGAAGACGGAGCAGTCAATATCAGCAACACTCCAGCACCAGTTGAAAGCACCTTCACCTCCAGCATCATATCCATACTTTTTCCAGCAAACAGATGCTCCGTGAAAAGCTAATGGGTTGATATAACCCAATAGGACTTTTGAAATCAAATGTAGTTTGAGCATTGGTGACGTTTGGACTGGAAGTCATCACTTGGATACTCTCGATTTTGATTCATAATACTACTACTATAAGTTTGTCGGTTTTACAGCTCGATCAAGTCAAAAGACGTGGAAAAAAAGGAAAACTATTATATTTTTCACTTTTTTTTCACTTTTTTTACTTTCTTTATCTCTCTTACAAATTGTATAAGAGAGTGCCCAAAAAGCTCCACTTATTGTTGTTGTTTGGCTTCGACTTCCTTGACCAGTTGAGCCAATTCTTCAGGATTGTACAGCATAAAGTACTTTTCAATCTGTGGCAAATAGTGCACTTTGCCCTTGACCAGATTAAACCAGTACAAATAGGACGCGTCATTGTGGGAGACACCCACAGTGCGCACATCATTAAAAGACGGGACGAGAATGGGGTCGTCCTTCGAATTGCCCTGCGTCTCATCCGATTCAAGGGGATCACGATTAAACTGGGCCACGCCAATCTCAGCAGCTTCAAGTTCCTGACGTTCACGACCAACTGCGTGTTCCAAATCGTTAGGAATACCACCAGAAGAGGCAAAACAGCGCGTAGCAAGACGGAGAGAAGAAGACCGGAGGGGACCAAACACGCGCGTTACGACGTTCATTTTATCTTTTGCGAAAATTAAAACTGAAGGTGGGGAGAGCACGGGTCAAAAATAGTGCTTTTTTAGCATGAATGGTACGTTTTCATTGGCTAAAATGGGGTAGAATGGGGAATTATGGGGAATTATGAAGACACATGTACGCAAAAAACTGCCATTGACCCAAATTTGGAACAATACAAACATTAATGACTAAATTAATGAAATATTTGACAAGTGGAAAATTTCAAAAGTTACATTTGCAACAATCAAAGTTTGGATAATCGAAGTTAAGGCGTCAAACTAATCGACTGAAATGACTTCGACGGTGGTGTGATCCTTTAGTTTTTGCTCGTCTTCAGGCTGAGATTGCAATTGTTGTGGCTCAGCTGCTGTTGATACGGGACCAGAGACTTTCTTGAACCACGAATCGATTTGATTCGGCACTTTTACTGGAGATGTTAAGGAGGATACAGCTGCAAGTGTTGATTTGGCAGATGCCGACCTCCTCGGTGCTTTAGTCTTCTGAACTGTGACCTGCGTCGTGGCCTTCAGTGGTGCAGCTTTCGTAAGCTTCTTCGTCTCTGTTGTAGTTGTTTCCTTCTCCGCTGCACCATTAGCTGCGGCCTTCTCAACATCCTGTGTCTTCTTCTCTTGAGCCTTTAATTTTTCCTGCTCTTGCAGCTCCTTTCTTTGCTGTTGTTCAAGACGCGCGACTTGAACCCGCTTCTGATCTTCTTCGTATTCACGAGCTTTTCGCATCAAATTAGACTCGAATACCGGCTCGATCAACAATTCACCAACAGGGCCAGGTAAATGGTTCTCCGTACTGTTGTCGCTTTCCGTGTCGAAAAACCAAAACGGGCCAATGATCTGAGGCTCCAGCTTCGCTGGTTTGACGGCTTTGGTCTTTACCCGCTTCTTCTGGAGCTGCGACGGTAATTTGTGCTTCGTCGGCGATAACGATCCTTCACCGCGCTCCACCAGGTCGACTTCTTTTCCAGCGTCATCCATGTAATCCACTTCGTCCTCATAAGCTAACCACTGATCGTCGTAGTCCAAATTATCCTCGTCAGACTCGTCAGCGTCATTTTCATCGTCTGACAGACTCTCACCAGGTTCTTCTTCTTCCCACTCATCATCACTGTCTATTGCGTAATCAAACTTTGAATATCGTGTGAACGGCCGGCGGCCGCCACGGAAAAGCCGGCTGCGAGTGCTGAAAGTGCCATAATACGCTGGTCGGTTGTTCTCGTGAAACTGCAGTAACTTCATTACGCCCCACTTTGGGTAACGGTGGCGCCGACCGCTCCAGCCAAGAGCACAATTCAGGCCAGCATTTGTCCCATTTCGTTTGTGTTTCAGCGACAAGAAAACTGACTGCTGTGGGGAAGCAACAGATCCTGTGGTTAATGCAACCCCGGTGGAACCCAAGAAATTAATGGTTGCGTCCATGCGAGCAATCTTTGTACTCTTCTTTTCCACAAAGTCAGCAGTCTTCTCTGCATCACTGTCGCCTGTCATATCCATAATAGAGTCACTGGTTCCAGCGCCATTTGCCGCAAAGAAAGCCTTAAATTTCTTTTGCACCTTAAACGACTCGAGTTTCTTCTCCTCCACTTCGCGATCACGCTTTCGTTTCTCTTCACTCTTTGCCTCCTGACGCTCTAGATCAAGCCGCTTTTTCTCTTCGGTTGCATCACGCTTTTCTAGTTCCTTCGCCTCTCGATCTTTCGCCTTTTGTAATTCAGCAGCCACTACTAGCCCGAATTTCCCAACTTTTGCCTCTTCAGCACTCACTTTTGCCTCATCTACAGGCTTCTGATGCAAGAGTTGGACCACCCTGGCCAATGTTTTCAATTGCTGCCCAAGACGCTTGCGATGTTTGCGCATGCGCTTTACGATTTTCTGTGCTTCATCCCCAAAATACTTTTCCAAGCTGCCTACCTCCCACACCCATAATGCAGCGACGCTGGTGTCTTCAAACACATTGGCCTTGGCAGGACGAACACCGTGTGGGATACGTTGTGCAAGCATCTTAATCTCCATTTCCATCGTCAGCAGTGCCCCACGGTTTACTGTATCTATGTCGAATCCGCTCTTTTCCTCTGTTGCCTTCATATCACCATCATCTGCTTTCAAACCTTTCTTGAATGCAGCTAGTAGCTCTTCACACACCACTGATAGACTCGCAGACCGCCCCTGAATACCTTTTACGATCAAACACTTTATTTCGCGAGGAAATTCGACAATAGCGGGCATTGCAACTGTATTACCAGCGTTCATGGTAGAAAGCGCTTGATCCCGAAGCTTCTGCCACGTTTCATTCAACGCTTGTTGTGCTTTTTCCAGATCAACCGTGACATTCAAATCGCAATCTAGTCTAGCCCCATATATATCTTGCATGATCACGTCGCTTTTCTTATTCGAAAGTAAAAGATCTGAATACATTCTTGTCAGCTCGTCAGTCTTTATCTTGTATGTATCAACACGGGCCTGAGCAACTGGATCTAGAAGTGGCTCCACAGGGACAGGTTTAGCTACCACGGCAGCAGCTGCCGCTGCAGCATTTCCTTTCATCTTTTGCTGCCGACTCGTCGTCATCTTATTTGTCCCTTTACTATTCTTCGTCACTGGTGATACCACTTTTCTCCGTAACTTCTTCTTGTCATCAGTCTCTTTTGTTGCTTGTGTCACTATATCATTTTTTGGCTTTACTGTAGTTAGATCCACAACATCAGTTGCATCTTCTTCTACATTTGAGTCCATTTTTTTCATTCTTGTCGCAGAATTATCATCACTAATATCGACAATCTCATTCTCCAAAACAAGAGCATCATCTGAGATCAGAGCTCCAGCAGGAACAAAGTCTCCGCCCGTCTCAAGTTCAGCTCGAGCTCTTTTAGCTTCTGGTGTCTTGAACACGTCCTCATCATCAAGTTCTTCATCTTCTTCATCATCTCCAGCTACAGCATGAGGAGAGATGAAACGTACGGGCTTCGGCTGCTTCTTTTTTATTGAATCAGATGCCTTGGCCTTGAGTTTTTTGGACTTGGGTTTTGTATTGGTTTGAGTTGGGATCGATTTTTTAGGCTCCGTTTTATCCCTGGAATTAACCTCCGAATTAACTCGTCGCCTCTTGACCGATTTTGCGTCTGATTCCATCGTCTTGTCATCTGATTCTTGCTCACATTTGGTTGGTGAGAAAAAAGCATTAAGTGTCGCTTGTTTCGTTCCTTTCTTGGGCTACAAAGACAGCAGTAATTCAATCAAACGTCACTACGAGTAAGATCGGTCTTTTAATGGCCATGACGCACGTAATTGACCACACTAAAAGACGTAAAGAATATAAAATAAAGATAAGACGAACCTCTGTCATATTAACCACACGTTGGGATGATGACGCCGTGAGAAACGAGCACGCGTTGCAACGATTCAAACGAATTGTTTGTTTGGTGCGTTATGTTGGCGTTTTTTATTACTTTGCAAAAGAGTGACTTGTATTTTATAAGAGTGACGTATAGTTTACGATACCGTAAAACCTCGGTACGGTACTTCTCGATTTAACATCTAAGATTGTCCGTCTTTTATTGTCTCGTTTTGACCATTTCATGCTTTAAAACTTTAGTATCAGCTTCGCTTTGGGCACATGATTTCAACTTGGAGGTCGCCACTTTCCATCTTGTGATTCGCCACCTCATGGAATAAAAGAAACGAGAATTTTTGTCGTTGTTTGCCACAGATTTCGGTAGTGTCGTCAATGCAGAGAGAAACCCACACACGTTAATTTGAGACGGAAGAGGTCTCACCAGAATTGCCTCAGTCGTCTATTGATGCAGTGTCACCGTTTAGCAAAAAGTCTTCCAACTGCAGGTGCTGCCTGCCGGTTGGTTTTGGGGTGAAATTTGGGTGGGATCTCTGTAATTTCAAAAAACTTGGTGTCCAGCACCCTGCAACATGGGTGCAGCATTGCGCCAAATGGCTGTCCCCAATCGACTCTTTAAGTTATGAGTGTTTTAAAGAGAGAGTGGCTGCGATCCAGTGGCTGGTGTGTTTCAAGCTTCGCCTTACACGCTGCTGCAAGAGTTGTGAATGGTACAGAGAGTACGGGAACTGATGTACGTGCTGCAACGGGTTCAGCGGGTTGGAGTCGAGAGCATTGCTGGGGATGCAACAGGTGCAGTTGGAGCTGCTACGGATGCTGTTGGAGCTGCTGCGGGGGCTGCTGAAGCTGCTGCGGGGGCTGCTGAAGCTGCTGCGGGGGCTGCTGAAGCTGCTGCGGGGGCTGTTGGAGCTGCTGCGGGGGCTGTTGGAGCTGCTGCGGGGGCTGTTGGAGCTGCTGCGGGAGTTGTTGGTGTTGCTATGGGGGCTGTTACGAAAGCTATTGGGGCTGCCACGGAGGCTGTGGGGGCTACTAGGGGGGCTGTGGGGGCTGTTGGGTTTGCTACGGGGGCCGTTGGGGTTGCTACGGGGGCTGTTGGGGCTGCCATGGGCGCTGGTGGAGCTGCCATGGGTGCTGATAAAGCTGCCATGGAGGCTGCGACGGGGGCATCTACGGGGGCTGGGTGTTGGGGCTGCTATGGGTGATGTTGGGGCTGTCGCGGGATTTTGTAAAGCAATGATCGCTGGAGCTATGACCGTGGTTGGGGCGCGCGGCGAAGACTGGCCTGTTAAAACGCTTGCAGCGCTGGCACCACTCTGTATAAAAGACTTCGACATTGCATCCGACTGCTCAGCAATGATTGTCTGCTCCGCTTCTGCCTGCGCTTTTCTAGCTTCGGCCACCTTCTTCGCTTCGAGTGCCTTTTCTCGTTCCAGTTGCTGCAATCGTGCCTCCTCTTTGATGTAATATTCCTCAACCTCAGCCATCTGCGCTTCAAATTCCTCCCGTGACACGAAGCCCCGTGAATAAAGGCGCCGCTTCTCATCGTCGCGAAGTTCCTCCGCAATGCGTTTCGTGACCTCAACATAAGAAGCGTCAATGTCAGCTGTAGCGTCTCCAATAAACTCTTTCCACCTTTTTCCAGCGGCTTTTGCGCTACTCTCTTCTGGCAATGGGTGGCTATCATCTTCGCCTGCAGTAGAGCTTGCCGTTTCAACGTCTTCCTCTGCTGAATCTTGATCACCCTCTTGGTTTTTATCGTCAGCGAATATCTCTTTTTCAGCAACTTCACCATCTTCTAGTGAGCTCCGCAGCGCCTTCAAATACGCTAAATACTCATTGTTATGTTTGGCGTGTTCTTCATCTAGCTCGCTGTCATCAATCATCGAGCCAAGCTCGCAATTCCAGCAAATATTCTCATTACCGTTTTCCCTCGCACATTTCTTGTGGTAGTATTTTGTGCAAGTTGGACAGCGTATTAATCTGGAAGAAATGACCTTTTCCTCACACAGCTCACACATAATCCTCTCCGCATGTGTTCGTTTGCGCTCACTATCAAACGTCGGAACGTGCCACGTTCCTTTTCCTGATACATTTGCAGTTGTGTAGACTATAGTTTGACCATCAAATCGAGCTTGCTCATTAGAAAGTAAAGCACCTCGCTGGACTTCTCCCTTCGGCCCTGTGATGCGCTGGGTCGACGAAGGAGAGCCTACGCCACTATCTTCCGACTCACTCAAATTTGTGAGATCCACCACATCCAGCAAATTCAACTGTGAACGGCTCCCTTCGTCAGGATCACCCTCTTCATCGCCGTCATCATCTCCACACTCGCGCATAAATTCTAAAAACTCTGGACTGCAGTATCCCAAGACAGGCTGCTCCACAGGAGTTATTTCACGAGGTGCTGACTTGACCTTGACGAATCGAATTTCATCTGCATCAAAGGAAACAGTCGCCCCAGAAGGTGATGGCTTTTGACACTGCTGCAACTCACCTGATCGCCGAACTTCTTCAGGATGCTTCTTTTTTGGTATTAGCACATGAGCACAACCTGAATGTGTCGCAGGGGCACAAGACACCTTTAAGTTTGCAACAGTTGTAGACTGTGGTGTAACTGTTGCAAGAACTGCTGTTTTTGCTGTTAGCGCTGTTGTCGGTGTTGCCTTTATAGCCGAAGGTACATTTACCGCTGGCTTCTGCTTTACTGCTGGAGAACTTTTTGCTGACGTTACAGACTGAACGTTCAAACTTGATGTTTGACTTGGTAGCGACGATATTTCAGTAAATGCAACTGCCGGTACCTGGACAGGTGGTTTCACCGCTATAGGTGGCAGCTTTGCTGGTGCAGGTGGCAGTGCTGCTGACGCCACAGGTGCTTTTGATGGTGGGTAAGGTACGCTCGCACTTGGGGCTGCGGGTGGCAATTTTGCAGGTATTGTCATTGCGGGCGTTATCGACGATTTGGCAGGTGTTGTAATTGCAGGCATGGTCGAAGATGTTGCAGGTATTACTTCTGCATGCGTCGAAGGCGGCACCTTTGAGACCGCAGACTCCAATGGCAATAAGACTGTGGGTTTTGTCGCAGATATGGTAATCGTGGCTGCGCTAAGAGCAGCAGATTTAGTTGTCGACAATGTAACCGTTGTCGCTTTTACTGGTTCCGCCACGTCATCTGCGTCATAATCTTCATATTTTGTTGCTACAATTGCTTCCGCAGACGTTAAAGATGCTTCAGTAGACGTAATAGTTTTCGCTTTTACTGGTTCCACCACGTCATTTGCGTCATAATCTCCAGACTTCGCTGCTACAGTTGCTGCCGCAGACGTCAAAGATGCTCTAGTAGACGTTATAGTTTTCGAAATCGGCGGGTGACTCCGTCTAGCCACCGCCAATCCATCAAAAGCAGTGACAAAATCCGATGCTCGGAATTCAATCGGGTCGAATACTCGCGACTGAAATAGTGAGTCCTTTAGCATCAATTCGTCTTGCTCAGCCTCTTTCTCTTCCATCAATGTACCAGCAGCAGTATCCGACTCCATTGCATCATTTGTCGTTACTGCGTCAAAAGTTGTATCCTCTGATATTATTTCCGGCATCGTCGTCAATAATGTTTCAATCTCTTTACCCTCCACAGTTGGTGGAAATGTCGACTTTGCAGCTGTCTCCTCTGTTGGCCCAAATACCACCAATGTCGGTTCTGAAGCTATACCTTGATCACTTGTTGACGTGGCGTTAGCAGCATCTGTATCACCAGTAATTTCAGTAACTGTACGTCCTTTTTTTGCCGCTTGTTTCCTCATTTTGGCTACAGCATTCACCGATGGGAAATCATTGTCCACAAATGTCACGAAAGGGAAAACACGACTTTGGAAGAGACTTTTGCTCTCTTCTTCGTGTTCATTATCAATTGATCTTGAGCAATTGTCCTCTTCTTGTCCTTGTCGCTTGTCTTGCTTGGAAACCTCGTCCACGTCGTCATTATCGTCGTCGTCGTCGTCATCATCGTCTGAAATTAAATCTATAATATCTGGCTTCTCATTGGTCATAATCTGATTATGCTTGAGTCTTTTATTAGAGGCATTTTTCGTCTTGTGGTGCCTCCTTTTCTTGCCTACTTGAATCTCATTTGATCTAGCACTTGAGGGTCCCAAAACGTAGCCATTTGTACTGCCTACTCGACGATGTGTCGTTGGATAAAAGCTCAATGACGTCTTGGGACGACATCTATCGCATAAATCATGCTCGGAATTAAAGTTAAGGCAACCACATTCCCGGCACGTCACACCTCGATCACCTCGAGCCATAAGTCGCTATTGTGAGTGGACGAGGCGATTGTCGAGAGCACAACGATGATTGGATTAAAAGAAAGGATATCAATGTAGCCATGTTAACCAGAACTTTTTTTAGTTAGTTATACAGTAACTTCTATTACTTAATATAAACTGGAAGGCGCTATTCATCACGACTAACCATCCCCCCGCCAATTTATTAAAATGGTGCTGGTGTTTGGCGACGAGTTCGGTCTGTGTGTTGGCGATATCTGATATTGTCGACGTCGTACAGGAGCTTTCAAAGCAGCGGCAACATGCTGAAACTATGATAGAAATCGCTGTGTTAATGTCGTTGGCCGACCACGTGTCTGAACTTGCAAGAAAATTGCAAATACAAGACATGGTTAAGCAGACAAGAATGAGACCTTTGATGTCATCGTCTGGAGATAAGAATTCAAGGACATTACTGTCTTTCTAATTGCCGATCCTTTTGTGTGTTTGATTATAACAACATAACCTTCCTGCTGTGGATGGGCCTTCGTTGCGACGGGCAAATTGCGGAGGTGCTGCTAAACATTCTGACCATATAAATTCTTAATACATCTTTGGGTGCGTAATGGCTTGCAAAAAGGTGCGTGATGAGTAACGCTTTCCTATAAACTGCGCGTAAAATCATTCACTTGACTTTACTTCGATGCTGCTTCCCTCTTCGTTTTTGGCGTCGAAGATCACAAATCGAAAGTTTGATCCCGTACTGCGACTTTGTTGGTTGCTGATCAGAAAAAAACATTTCTGTAGCGTATGCCACGTGATCTTATTTTATTACATTGAGGAGTACTGCAGCATTATCGTCCTTCTCCGTTTTAGTCCAAGTCAGATGCTGTCAATATGTAACGATCACTGTAACGGGATTACACGATAACTGATTAATTGTATCCAAGTACATGGTAAAACCATAAATAACGCATATGATGCATTACAATTAGTACTGGTCCTATAAAACGGCAGCAAGTGTGGGAGATAATATATAATACTACATGTAGGGTATTTGTAATGGGGCACCCTCCAACTATACTGATTACAGTATAGTATACTTTCACTGATTAAAGTGAAAGCAGGTGCCTCAAAACCTCACGTACACGTGAGCAGAGGAAGCTTATCAACTAAACAACGCTTAGTTGAGAGGAAAAAGAAAAACTGTATTTAATATAGTTAATTATCTAATAAAACTAATCGGTTATAACCTATGTTAACTATATTAAACTACAACTATGTATGTTGACAACTTGTCCTCCACTCATTGCGCGCGTCCATCGGTCATTGGTCAGCGCGTTGGTTGATATAATGGCCCATATCAACCAATGTGAGGGCATCTCCAACTTCAAGGAGATCTAGGGACAATATTATAAGAAAAGGTAATATTGTCAAAATATTATTAGTTATAATAATATTTTTATTGACTCTTCATATAAGTGTCAATATTATGTAACGGGCTCACCCCGTTACATCACCCCCCCTCAACCAACAGTCACATTAGTGACTGTTTAGTGACTATGGGAAAGGAGCACTTGTTGAAATTTTTTTTATTCCAACATTTTCTCGTTATGACAAAGTCAATGCGCGTCGCTGCTAAGGCAGCTAAGAGCTCGGCTGCACGCCTGTGTGCACCCGCTACTGAGGCTTCACAGCCTCAGACAGCAGACACTAATGTGTATGATGGAAGTCAACATCAGCCTGCAACGCCTGTTGCAGGTTCACGTAGCGCTTCGCCACGTGAAGATGTTGACCCAGAGTTAGTCGTTGACTACTCTGGTGAGTCGGATGACGTGTGGTGGAGTGGATTTTCAAACAACGTGAGAGAACCACAAACACACACAGCGCCGGACTGCCGACTTACGGAGGGGGTACCCCGATACCGTGTCGCGTCAACCTTGGGTCTCACCTTGTGTACCCGTCGGCTTGGCTGGTCTTGCTCCTCGTTAGACGCAGAAGACTTAAAGACTTGGTCTTTGTATAGGACTTGGCCTTGGTGGTCCCCGAGTGGATATACTTCACTTGGGACCGGGTTTCTTGGGCTCAATCGACTTAGCCGAGAGCGATGCACCTGGTACTATGTACCCCTTTCGTGGCTGACTGTTCTTGGTCCTTGGACCCCTTTGTGTTCTTCCCCGTAGGGAAACCGCTTCCTGTAGCGGGTCGTAGAGTGTTGACACTTACTTGACACCTCAGGCCAACTATCCTGAGGTTCAACTTGCGTTGCTTGAGTCGTCTAACACCTGCTGGACGTCGGGGGGACAAAGGGTATCCCGCCCGGAAGAGGTGAAGCGACGGAGAAGCTTAGGAGGGGCGCTTAAAGTTGCCACGTGTAATGCAAATTCGAGTGTGTTTATTTACCTTATTCTCTGTATGCTTTTCTTGCCTAACCTTAACCCTTTGATCTAGATAGTGCCACGTGTGGACTCTTGGAAGAAGAACTGGCTCCATGTTACCTGCACTTTCTGTAATCTTCGATATTCTGTGTACCGATTCTGCACTCTCGGACATTAGGGCTCTGGGCCCCTGGGTCCCTGGGCCCCTGTACCCCTGGGGCCTGTGCTGACTCCGCACGTATGGGTCCTTATATTCTTAATACGGCGGGGCCTGGTGTATGGTTGTAAATCCGCGAGGCCGGGTCGTGGTCACTCCCTCGGGGAAGTGACCAGAAGTTCTCTTGCTCTCCGTTCCATCTCCCTTAAACTCCAACTTTCCCTGGCACTTCACCACAGCTGTCCCCTGCTCGCTGGTCTTTCGAACTGCGGTAAGACCACGTGCACCCTTGTCCAAACTCCTCGAATTAACAGTAAGTGATCCTACGTCGCTCGGGTGGTTGCGTTCACCAACTCACACGTCTTGTATCCGTTAGTGACTTCTCGTAATCTTTCCACCGGGTCTCAAGCACCTTACCGTTGGTCTTTTTCGGCACTTCCTGGACCTAACCCTGACGAGGTCGCCCCGACCGTGGACCTTATTGGGGAGCCCCCCCAATTATCTGGAGGTCTCTCAAGCTTGGGAAGTTTTACGTGGCGCGGTGGAGCGGGCCCAGGCCATGGAGACCCTCGCTGAGGAACACAGGATCCTCCAACGGGCCTATCAGATGGAACATCGCCGGACCGCGGAATTACAGCGTCGCGTAGACAACCTCACGGAATTCGAGATGACCCATGCGACCCGGATACAGTCTTGGGTCCGGAATCTGGTCCACGAGCATGAAGTGGACCAGCTGGCCATCGCCGAGTACCGGGATGCACTCGCCCAACGGGTGGACAATTTTCGGGAAGTGGAAGAATCCCGATCCCAGATCAAGTACTGGAAGGACCAGTACAACGAGGCTGTCGCAAATTCTTCGGCTGAAATTCGGTCGCTGGAGTCCAAGTTGGATGCACTTCGCAGTCCTCAAGAACTGTCCAAACAAGTGTTGGTACTCCAGAAGGAGGTTGCCAACTACAAGAGCCGCGTGAAGACCCTCCTCCGGGAACGTGACCAGCTGCAGAAGCAGCTAACGGTTGCTCGAGGCATGGCGGCAAAATCGACCCCAGCCACGACCAAAGCCCGAAGTTCCAGAACGACGAAAAGGTCACGTTCGCCTTCATCCAAGGCTCGGTCGCCCCTTAAGCCGAAGAAGCGAAAAACCAATCGTGCCCCGGGGTCATCTGAGGCCGAGGATAGCAGTAGTGACGACTCGATGTTCGCCGCCATGGCCAGGTCGCGGGCTTCCAGTCGTCGCTCCGGCCCTGTACCCTCTACGTCAGAGGTCGGCCCCGAGGTCATAGACCTATCGACTAAGGCCAAGTCCAAAGTTCCCACTCCACCTTCACGGCCCCCATCCCCTCGCACTTCCCACGCAGCGCCTCGGGCGTCAAAGAACAAGAAGGCTCGAACGACGTACTCCGACGAGTTCTTGGAGATGTTTGGACCAGACTCTGAAACTGAGAGTGATGAGTCTAGCCATGCTAAGCGTAAGCCACCAGCCAAAAAGTTCCCGCCGCAAGGGCCCCGCCGGCAAGGGTCCATCAGTACCATCCAAGGGTTCCAGTGGCAAGGGTCCAGTACCATCCAAGGGTTCCCGCGGCAAGGGTCCAGTACCACCCTCCAAGGATTCCAGCGGCAAGGGTCCCGCACCATCGTCCAAGGGTTCCATCAGCAAGGGTCCCGCACCACCACCCAAAGGTTCCAGCGGCAAGGGTCCAGCACCCCCCTCCAAGGGTTTCAGCGGCAAGGTTCCAGCACCACCCTCCAAGGGTTCCAGCAGCGAGGATCCTGCACCCACACCTGAGGGTCCTGCCAGCCAGGGTCCCACCCATAATGATTTACCCGACCGTAACATCCACGGCTCTTCCCTTCCTGGTTATGCGACACCCAGCACGTTCGCCGCAGAAGATGTTGCCCCCTGGTCGATTTCCCAGGTAGGGGCCCTCGTTATCACCCAGCTGACGCCAGAGGATCTTTGGTCCAAGGTATCGCTTCCATTATCTTGGGTGGGCGCTTTTGAAAACCAGAAGCCCCAAAATTCCCCAATCTGGAGCGAAGCCCTCATGAAGGACTCTCAACTTCAGCTTCTGATGGACTCATGTCCTTGGGCCCAGGGGGTCGTGACCGTAACCCCTATTTCTTTTCCAGTGTCCGGCTGGTTCAGTGACCTCGTGAAGCTCCATGATACGTACGTCGATGCGTCACGCCAGAGTCTATGGGAAGACCGACACCGACTTCCTCTTTTCTCCGAGCTCCGTAAAAGAGCC